CTTACGCACACCGCTGTAGAAGCCACGTAGAGATGTAGAGTTATGAATACTACGGAAACTTTATGAACTTTTTTTTAACTTATGTAATTTCGTATGTTGCCAGTACTTACCCAGTGTATTTAATTGCAAACCGTTTTATAATTTTTATAATGCAACTGGCAAATAAAATTGTTTAGAATTAAGAAGAAGAAATACAAAGATTTGAATACTTCATAGACATAATATTTTCAGATAATATATAATATATCGAGTTTGTTTCTTTTTGCTTCTTGTCACTTTTGAACTCGTTTTATATTAATTGATACGTAAAAACAATTGAAAATAATTTTTATAATACAATTCCATTTATTTAAAAATAAATTAATATGTGAAACCTTTGCAGTCTACGTCAAGGATCATTATTTTAGATAATGAAATTTTACTGCCTTATTTTTTATAGCCGCAATAACGAAACACACCATTTAAAAACCCGATTTTACAGTGCAAAGTAATAAACAAAACGCACTTACTTTCGTGTCGAATGCATGGTAAGGGGTGCAGCAACGCACCCCTCACGCACTTTCACACAAACACACACATAAAATATTTGTATACCGAGAAACTGGAACGCTATTGGTTGAGATCAACGCACACATGCGCCGTATCCAACGGATATATATAACTTAGTTGTATGAATTAGTTGCGTGCATTGGGGTAGTCTTTGCTAGGAAAAAGTATTGATTTGTTGCTGCGTTGCTTAGTGCTGTGGAGCTTTCGTACGTCCGATGAGTTGGGAGTAATTGCCTATAAACAAACTTTAAATAGGATAATAAAAAAAACGTAAAATTAATAATAACTGCTCTATTTACATCCTTAACATAATGAAGATTTATTCGACATAATGTTAAGGATTTCAAGAAAAATATTTTAGTAGGTTTTGTTGCAAAGATTAAATGTCTATTTACAAATATCAATTCCTCTAAAAAACATTTTTTTAAATAATTAATGTTGATTGTCTAACATTTCTTCCTCATTAATCCTATAAACGTTAATTCCTCGCACTTCATAATTAGTAGAAAAAGTAGTGGTACCAAAAAGAACGTAAATCATAAACTTAAATTTTTTTATCCTCTACCTTTTTAAAAATAATATATATGTTAAAATACAAACCTTGATGCAAAAGAACCGATGAATTTATTTTTGTGTTCAAATTCATTATAAAATCTTTACGCAGATAAAAAAGAGCTAAATCGAAACAAGATTTAATTGTAAGAAAAAAGTTTTTCATAATAAAAAAATATAATGCAGGCCGCTTACAAAGTTAAAAGATTTTTAAATAACGCAAAAAAAATCAATTACGCAACCCGGGCTCCTGTCACATGTAATAGTCCGAAGCGGTGCGTGCAAGATGCATCATTAACAAGTCGATCCGTCCTGCCCGTTACATCAGCTGATAGTACAAAAAGCTTCACCTAACATCTGCCGGCCGCCGTGAATCACCGGCCCTTGGCTCGTGCCGACCCGAGGATAAAAAAAAACGAAAAGTGTAAACTCCCGTCGACCGTTATAATCTTGCTGAAGTGGGCGGACTCACGTGGCAATTTCTTCATTTAAGCTAATTTTTATTGTATTGGTTTAATATGAAGCAAAATATATATAAAATAGTTAAAAATTTATTTTACTGCTGGAATTAAGTTACAAAAGTGTTGTAAATTTATTCATATTAATAAATATACCGTTTATTATTGTTCACTTTAATGTGAAAAAGACTCAGCATTTTAGCTTAATGTATAAGAAATACAGGATTTATTCAGTTATGACATAAAGTACTCGTAAATCGTAATTTGCTGTTATTTCGTATATTTAGCTCGTAAATATAGTGAATCTAGACGTATATTAGACAAACAGTCATCTTAAGTATTTTTAAAATGAAATATTGTATCGCTTATAATAAATCCAGATTAATTTCCAAATCTGACACATTTCTGTGCCATTAACTCGAAAGAAAAAAAATGTCGATTGGAGTATATGAATAATCTGTGAAACAAAAAAAGCCATTAAAGTCTGCGACGAAAGCGGTAAATTTATAAAAAAGTTTCTTGGTAATGTTTATTGTTGTTTGCGAGGATGGACGATAATCCATTTATTCCTTTAGCAAAACAATTTTTGGCATCAATTTTTTTTTGTCTTATGGTTACTACAAATTATATTAACATTACGGATACCGAAAGATTTAGATATTGAGTTATTAGATATTTTAAAATTTTTTTTTAGAAAACAGGAGGTAGAGTGAGGTAATGTTTCACAAGAATCTACTACCCTATATCATCCCGTGAGTGTCGTGAGAGATGACAAAGAGAACTGAATAAGGAGATTCGTAGCAGCATCTTCTAATAACAACTTAGAATGATAAAAAACAAAATTAACTTCACTATGCATATATCTAATTTAATCTATGTAAGCTAAGAACATCTCATCCCCGTGACCATGGTAAGCTCAATTATTTCAATGTTAGTTTGCGTAAATATAAGAAATCATTAGATAAAAAAATTGCCAACCCGCCTGCGCTGCGTTGCAACTATGACATAGGGGGGATCTATGGGGCAATTTATGCGGGAGGCCTATGTTCACCCCATCATTCATAACTTTGAAGATTAATATAATGCTTACTTCTCTTTAGTGGCTTTGTAAATTCTCTTCGAATTATTTGTCTTTTACACTACTTTTGAGAACATTCGCCCAAACGCCTCACGATGGTTAACTCTTAGGTTGGTTAGCGCAGAGCTGATTCCATCGCACTGGTCATGTTGATCCTTATCACCAGTCAGATTTTGGTTCAGTTTATTTAAATATCAGAGCCGTGGTAGCTCATGGGCCATAAATTTCATAGTAAGAGCAACCTGGGTTTAATTCCCACTCACACCAATGACATTGTTAATTACAATTTATGTGCTGATTTACATCGTGCTTGGCAGTTAAGCTTATAAATTGTTAGGAATCTAGCATGTCCTAGAAAAAAGAAAACAATGCATTATTCTTGTGGCAGAAGCCTATTGTACCATGTTACATATACCATTTTAAAGAATGCTGAGTGGAAATTTTGGAATTACTTGCTTTTTTTTGAGAATTCTTTCATACTTGGAAATAAACTGCAAAAGTAGCTTCCGGATTATTGTTTTGACCAGTTGGTGGGTTGGAACATTTGTAGACAACACGGTCCAATAGCCACTGCTCTATAGCCCTCTCAGAAATGAGTGGAGGCCTCTGCCCAGCTGAAAGGCGCAGTGTAGGTTGTAACTTGATTATATTTATATGACTCTTCCACTGTTAGACGGTCACCAGTGCCTCGTCAGCAGGATGTACTGCAAACAGATGAGGTTGGCATTCGGAATAAGTATTGAAATTAAATAAAAAAAATCTCTCTCTCCCTCAACAGCCGACTGCTAAACTTAGGATGGATTGCATCATAGGAAAAAAATTCGCCACTGTTGCAAGGCTTGGAATAAGTTGGACGATGCTCCTGCCCATATCCTGTTTCGATTTCCCGCTTTTGCCTCTTATTGTAGGTTTCAAGGGTTGACTTGTGGTAGAGGATACCCTTACACGGCATATATATTTTTATTTAGGTACTAAGATACTTAAACCCTAAATGTTCAAAGCTTACTTTATCTAGAATGTATTAGAAATTGCAGTTTAAACACAATAATAAATGAACAGAATCTTTTTAAAGACTGGCTACAAAAGAAATATAAATGTAACTTTCTTTTAAAAAGAAAACAGCAAAAGAAAACCTCCTTATCATTGGTTTGACTACGCTTCTTAGTTTTTCTTCCAGGGCCAAATTAATATTATATAGTATACAAATGAGACGGTTGGGTTTTTTTAACCAGGCTATATTAACTCTTTTGCTGTCCCGTGTACTACATGTAGGTCATTTTTTTAAATTATTCTAAGCCAGCGCTAAGCTACAATCCCACCTGATGGTAAGTGGTGATAGCCTAAGATAGTGAATTTATCTGATTTAACAAAAACCTATTCACTCTTGCCTTGAAGACACTCACACTGTAATCGAATGGAAAGACAGATGCTAGCTACTTATTCTACTCCTTTGCTGTACGCATGATGAACGACGTAGCAAATCGTTTGGTTCGAACGCGTGGTATGTCAACAACCGACCACAACAGTCCGATGGTGGAAGGGAGAGAGAGGAATTAAATTACGCAATTCCTGCGCACACTGAAGCCTTTCGGTCTTCTACAGAAATGCATCCTGTAGAAGACCGAACCGGCTTTGAATTGGTTTTAACCAAATTCAGGTCACCAATAAGCCACTTAGCACGCCTTTCCATTGAGTCCAAAGCTGCTAGGTTGCATTTTGCAGCACCAGCCCATATATGGCAGTAATACTCCATGCACGACCGGACTTGCGCTTTATATAAGCAGTTGCAATTGTAAGCAGTTGTCCCGGCGTGAATTATCGCCGCACCTTTGCAAAGACTCCTAGCTCCATTGCAGCCGCTTTGGCCTTGGACTCAATGAACCGCTTGAAGTTCAATTTCGGAATATCTCCAGGTCGGTGCCATCCAGTTATACATTTCTGAAAGAAAGAGTCAAGGGGAGCTGGCTCCTTTTTGCAGTGAAGAGACACGCTTGTTTTTTGAGGCGTTGATTTTCACAAGATTTGCATCGCCCCATTCGGAGAGTGCCCGTTGCTATTGTCTTACTATTATGTCTGAAAATTGGACTGTGAAAGTGTTTTTAAAGTACTTGTTAAAATACTTTAAGGCTTGTCATTTCATGTTTCCGACAAAAGTTTTGTATCAATTTAAATAGATGCAATTTAATTATGTCGATATCGTAGATACTTTTCAAGTGATTTCTGAAATGGAAAACTTTTTTTGGCATTCATAACGGAAAGAAAATAACATAAAGCTGGCAAGAAAAGTTCCAGCTGCATTTTACGATAAGACATCAATCAAACACTAAAAAACACCTTTTAAGTCAACAATAGATACAATCGTTCTACGATAAAAGACCTAGAGGTGTACTTTGACAGCCCGCCATGATTGGAGCATGGCGCTTGCGCAGCTGCCGCGCACATTGCGCGCGACGCGTGCGCACAGCGGAGATAATGTGGTCGACATATGAACCAAACGGTATAAATAATGCCTTCACAAGGTACAACTTTTTCATGTAAACTAGGAAAAAAGCTTGAATGACGACGGAAATCCGTAATGTAGAATTTTGTTTCCTATTTTAAGCTTATACGAAAGGTTTTGGTAAGGAAAGGTTTACATAAATTAAGAAACAGTTAAAGAAAATTAAATTTACAGACTATACACGTCCTACTGATTGGCAAAAGTTCTCCTTACGCGTTTGGGAGGGTTTTAGTTTTTGAGCCAGAGTTCGGCAGTTAAGACTTCGCTGTAAAGAAACAGTACTTAATCCAATTATAGTAACACCAAAATTATAGCACCAGAGCTATTAAAATCCCATAATGAGTTAATTAATAAATTCATGTTAAAGTTAAGTTACAGTCCTATACACGTCCCACAGCTGGGCACAGGCCTCTTCTCATTTCGAGAGGGTTTTAAGACAGGGAAGTGTTCGTCGCGCTTCTCCAATGCTTGTTGGCGAACTTCACATGTCTTTGAAATTTATTTCTCAGACGAGCATGTGGTAAATCAGCTTTAAACATTGCAATTAACAATTTCATTGGTGCCGGCGAGGATCGAACCCGCTCGCGTACTGTGAAATTTACAGCGAGCGCTTACTATCTGAGCTACCACGGCTCTTATAAATTCGTGTAGTATTTCACCTTTCACCAATGGTAGTGTGGCAAATATATTTTCTTTGTTGTAATTGCCGCGTGGTGGCGGTGTGAAAATTCTTTTACCATCAACATACTCGTACATATTTCGTCCCGTGGATATCGGAAGAGGTGGCCATGGGCAACACCAGAAAGATAGAAGATACTCTACTATCTATCTATCTATACTTTCATTTTTATCTATTACCATTACTATCACAACCTATAACATATGCCTTCCCCATAGATTGGCTCATAAGGGGGATTTTGGGCCACCACCCCACAGTTTTTTTCAGTTCTGTTTAAGTTTCCGATTGTCGCCTCTTACGACATCCACGGAATGGAAATGAACGAACGAAATGAGGAAGTGGATATTCTTAGTTATTTGTACATATAATGAATCTGTAAAAAAATTGTGCGTTGGCGATTCACAAAAAAACTACTGAACGGATTTCCATGAAATTTCTATGTAGACAGTAAATGATCGTGTTAAACATATGTATATGCAACTTTTTATCCGCGGATGAAAGATTAAAAAAAGAAAAAGAAAATGGTTTTCCCTTTTTTTATATTTTATTTTCATTATGACCGTTGATGTTTCTATTTGCCGTAAAGAGGATTTAGCTATACATATAATAAATCTATAGATAAGAGTATGAGTGAAAATAAAAAACCCATCGTGCCACCAACCAGAAAGGGCAGAACAACGTCTACCGGGCCTGCTAGTTATTACAAAAATAATAAAATAGTAATAAGTTTATGGTAATATACGCTTAATATTTATACCATTTAAACGGTACTAAAGCGAAGGATCTCAAAAAATGTTTACAAAAAGATTCTTTATTTGTTACTTTGTTTACAAACGTTTGCATTTCCCACGTGGTAGCGCAATGCTGCAGCTATATTACTGGTATACCAGCACGGATGGGTCGGCTCGACTGGGGAAGAACCACGTTCTCACAGAATACTAGCGTAAAATAACAGCTTAACGCTGCTGTGTTTCAGGGAGTGTAGAAAACCAGAGACCCTTTTTACTGGAAACGAGGCATTCCATCTTAGTTCTCACGGATGACAACGCATCTGCATTTTGATTCGTAATGGAGGATAGATGTAGATTTCAATGGGCCACAGCAACCACTTACCATCAGCGGTGGAATGTGTGCTCGTTTGTCACCTTTATCCCATAAAAAATTTAAAAAGTTTAAACTGCACACTAGTTACGTTGACTTTACTCGGACGTTGAATTTTTATTTTTTTTTTGTAACTTTTTTCCAAATGTTATCATCATCAATTGTCGCAAATATATCAAGAAAGCTAACAGATTGTTAGAAATTGCTAAGTAGATTTTAAATAAAGGTGATCCCAGAACAAGGGAAGGTGTCTCCCCAATTTCCTCCCAACGCTAAGCTTTACGGTGGTTGTTTTAAAACTAATTTGCTAAGTTACTTTCCAGTCCTTAACTTATAATCGTAAATTAAGTCAAGTACCCTCCCTTCTCATGTTTTATTGTATATATATCCTGCGTTTATTGTTTGCAATGTTCTATTTCATGATATTGTTGTTCAATTTGATTGATTAATGATTATTTTAAGTTTCATGGGCTTCATCGGCAATAAACTTCTACTGCTGAAGTACAATATACTCCTGAATTATCTAAATTCTTTTGGCACTAATAATGTATACCCCTTTAGGTATTGAAAGTATTACCTCTACATATAATGTAGCGTATGCGTACGTGTATATAGTATATGATTACCTATTTATATGCAGAGAAAATTATCAGTTTACGTATATGCCTTTTGATTAAAATAATGAAAAACTCAACATTTATTTATTCACCCATCAAAAGTACAGCAGAACGTATGCTTCCTACATAGATTGCGTCATGGAGAGAATATTTTCCGTAACTGCCACGTACGCATTTCCTTTTAGTTATCATGAAATTTCTGCTCTGTTTCCTCACCACAATCAGAGGACTACATACCTATTTTTGTCCGAACTTATAATGACACTTTTATACAAGTAAGATTGATAAACGACACACGGTCCACATGACGATAAATATCTACATTCATACTTAATTAAGAATCAAAATGCACATATGTTATGATTTCTTATATTTACGCGAACACTACACATTGAAATAATACTAGTTTTTACGGAATTTATCGCGTATATTTAACTTTTTAAATACCCGACGTTTCGAACGCTTTACAAAAGAATTAAAGAAAGTTTTAACGACGTTTGACTATAATTTTTGCATGGAAACATTAAATAAACGCGAAATTAGTAAATATAACGAATGCAAAAACAAACATATAGAAAAATATCAAAAATTAACGAACAAGTCAAATTATGTCAAACATCTGAATCACTGCCAGAACCAAAAGCAACCATTGACAAACACAGATCATAGATCAATCGCGCTCTATAATCTGTCAAAACAAACACTGGATGATGCAACAATTAGGGTTTTATCCAAAGGCCTCAACTTTGCTATTACACCCGGCAAATTACCGTACGAAGAAATTATCTGTAGTGTCGAGGACTGTTTATTTAAAAACAATATGCGGAAAGAAGATTTGGAGGCGATACGTCAAGACATTTCGTCTATGTTACGTCGATGTTCAGTGCCTAAACCGAATCTTCTCAAAGACGAATTTATAGCGTTAAAGAACCTACGCAATAAACCAGAACTTACGATTCTCCGCGCAGATAAGGGAAACGCCACGGTAGTCATGGATACGTCAGATTATAATTCTAAAATACAAGAACTTTTGTCGGATGTAAGTACCTACTTATAAAAAAGGTTAAAAACGACCCAACAAATAGCACACTAAAAAAAACTAGTGACCTCATAAAGAAACACTCCGAAAAATTAAATCTGGACGTATAGTGGATAATACCTACGTGCGCCAAATCACCAAAATTGTATGGGTTACCAAAAATACACAAGCCATTTCCATTACGTCCCATAGTGAGCCAAATCGATTCACCAACTTACAGATTGGCTCAACACTTAGCGAAAATACTCTCACCGCTCAGGGGACATACAAGAGCACACATAAAGGATTCCTACCATTTTGTCAGCGAGATTAAAGACCTACATCTGGCAGACAATGAAACTATGGTCAGTTTTGATGTGCAGTCATTGTTTACATGCTTACCTGTTGAAGACTGCATCTCAATTGTAACTAGAAGGCTGGAAGAAAACAACATGCCCGTAGAATATGCAGTATTACTCAGACACTGCCTTACATCTGGCTACTTATTGTGGAAGAAGGAGTTCTACAAGCAAGTAGATGGTGTGGCGATGGGCTCATCTGTATCTCCCATTGTCGCCGACATATTCATGGAAGACTTTGAGGTGAAAGCCCTGCTTAGTTCTCCCATAAATCCAAGATTCTACAAGCGGTACGTAGACGACACTTTCACAATTCTACCTTTAGATAAATTAACTGTATTTTTAGACCATCTTAACTCTATTAATTCTAAAATTCAGTTCACAATGGAGTTAGAGGCAAACAATTCCTTAGCTTTTCTAGATGTGTTAGTAATTCGGAATCCTGATAACACCTTGAGCCATACTGTGTATAGAAAAAAGACCCATACAGATAGATATTTAAACGGTGATTCTCACCACCATCCTTCACAGTTAGCTACCGTGGGTAAATGTTTGTTTCAGAGAGCACGAGGGATCTGTGACAGTAAACACCTGGCTGCCGAGCTCCACCATGTCAAGCAAGTTTTGCATGACAACAAGCTTCGAGTCCCGCGCGTACGTCACAGTGAACGAGTGAAGCCGGCCACAGTCGAGCGTGTACCTGCTGTACTGCCATATGTTAGAGGAGTCACTGACAAGATTGGCTACATCTTGAAGCGCGCTTCCATCAAAACATACTTCAAGCCGCTGAAGAAGATTGGTCAGTTTTTAATATCAGTCAAGTGTAGTGTCCCTCTGCAAGATGCAGGAGTGTACAAGCTTGATTGTGAATGTGGTCTCTCCTACATAGGACAAACTAAAAGATCAATAAAAACCCGCGTTAAAGAACATTTAGCTGATGTGAAGAATCGACGCTCCGGGAAGTCTGCAGTCTGTGAACACGTACAGGATCGCCCCCGTCACTACATCAGATTTGATAGACCGCAAATCCTCGCTAAAGAACACCGATTCCTTCCAAGGATAATTCGCGAGGCTATTGAAATCAAAAAACATCCTAATTTCAATAGAGAAGATGGCTGGGTGCTACCATCTGCTTGGGATCCTATAATAAATTAAATTAAATCCCAACCCAAGCATACAACTGCAAGACTTCAAGATACCATAAGTTCATACTGCATAGATCGGAACAAAAGTTAAATTTTAATCTATGGTAACCGCGGTTAACTATGACATATGGACGTTGAACATCTCAGTCCCGCCCGTGACCATGAGTGCTGTAAAGCGTTCGAAACGTCGGGTATTTAAAAAGTTAAATATACGCGATAAATTCCGTAAAACTAGTATTATTTCAATGCACATATGTTATTACTGCTAAGAACTAAGATGGATTACCTCGGCTGCAGTTAAAAGGGTCCCCGTTTCTAGTCACCTACCACATGAAACATACCAACATTATATTACTATTTTACGTTTCTTTAAAGTCGTGCCCCTGTCTTTAACGAGCCAACACATTCGTGCTACCTTACTTCAGTTGCAGCGTGGATCTGACACGTATAGATTAATTTTCCGTATCTTTGACTCTACGCGATGCTTTCTTACACATTACTAATATGTGTTTGACAACCACAATCAGCAACAGTTGCCTAACGTATCGTAATTGGTTAGTATAACGATGACCTTATTAGAAATGTATAACTTCTTGCTTTAGCAGTCTAGACAGCGCCTTCGTTCGGAGATGATTTCATTTATTTTAGGGTTTATTTACAAAGTGATTATTTTGTAAAGTCGGTCTTTAAAAGGCAAACATACATTTCTATTCCTTAAAAAAATATATACTCATTACCAACATCTATGAAATAGTGTGAGATTTGAAAATAAATCTTATTAAAAAATAAGATATTGTAGACAACATCGAATACGATCAAATATTACACGGGGTGGTGGATTTACCACATTACATTAAACAAACTACACTGATTACCATTAATCAAATCCGTGTAATAAATATTATGCTGTAGATGTAGCAACCCGAAATATACCAAACAACGTTGAGCATTGGCTATAGTTCGAGGTCCCAACACGCCTACTTATTAAGGAGACCTCAACCTATATATATATATATATATATATATATATATATATATATATATATATATGGCATACTATTATGATATTATTATAGTTTATAATCAACAAATTAGCAAGCTTTCTTACATTAAAATATATAAAATGATAATAAATACTAAATAATTTAATGTAATGTGTATATAAAAGGAACTGAAAAGGTGCTCGTAATTCGTGATTTAAAAAAGTTAAAATTGAATGCGATAAAATCCGTAAAAATAGTTTTATTCCAGTACGTTTGTTATTTCTATTTTGGATAAAAACCCAAGTCGTTCGATCTTATTATTTTATCATATTTCGCTGTTGGTACGAAAGGTTCTTTCTTTCCGAGAATCGATATCATTATTATTGGAGCTTGCAAAAAATACATTTTCGCATATTTATCTGAACATCGATCTAAAAAGGTATTATTTTACCATTCATATTATGAGTCAAATCACTACACTTCACATTTGCTATTCACATAATATACTTAAATTTAGAAAAAAAAAATACGTATAGGTAATACGTATATAGGTAAACACGATTTCGACGTTATTTTCGCGGACCATTAAATCAGCTGTAATGTTTTATTACTATTTTATTGTAATAAGTCGCTTTGTTTTGAATTTCGATTTGTGTAAATCGTCCCTGTCTCACTAAGCGATTAAGACATTAATGAAATGAATATTTTTTGCCAGAAAACTCAGTCCGTCAGCACGATTAAGCCCGTAAAACGTAATGAGCGATCTAATATTTTCGTGGAATCGGCGTAGTTAATTTTCGCGGTAATGGCAGTTATATTGCTGCTTTGCAGATGTATTGAATCCGTTTCTCGAAAACAGACAGCAATAAAATTGATTTAGATAATTATTTAGATAACAAAATTGTTTTTATCTAATTATGCTAGCAGAATAACAACATATTAATTAAATCTAATAATTATGTATATGAATACACATTGCAAGTATTTTTACCCATTCTATCTTTTATGCGTAATATTTCTGAAGCTATAATAAAAAATAAAAAATATTATATATCAAGTAATTTAATGACTTTTTAGAAAGTACATTGTATTTATTTACATAACATAATATCATAACTATTTTTTGTTAAAACAACCACCAGACTTTCTTACTCAGCGAGTCGTAAACATATTACTTCCGCGGCCATTTTACAAGCGTGCGGAACACCATGTTGGCGTGCCACGACAAGATGGCGGTAAAGAATGCAGACGAATAAATTAATGCAAATGGTAGCTCGTAAATAAGTCATACAAAATTTGTTTACCTCATCAAGATTTTTTGCAATTAATTTAGAATTCAACCGATTTAGATTTATAAACATTATTTTGTATATGTTTTGAAAGCAAAAGAGTTCCGGGGCTTTAGGTAAAGTTACCAAGTCAATCCAGATTTTTATTGAGTTCAATACACAAAACGGTCTCTGAGCAGTCTATTCATTAACACTGGCATTGTTAATGTTCATTATTTATGATCCCAAGGGATAAAAGTGAAAATCTAAAAATGAAAGCAAAGTTAACTTCGCTTTAATTTTTCCACTTTACATCGTTTCATTTCATTTTCAACTAAAATATTTCTTTTTGTGTGATGATTTTATTCGAACATTTATTTGATTCTTTTAATCTGTTATCTGTAGTTCTAAAATGTAACAAATTTGTGTTGCGACTAAAGGATGCCGATATTTTTTATCGCCACATTTTTGTAGATCCAACACTTCGGTTGTTTGTTAAATCCTATCTATGTTGTATTCTTGTATCTAATACTTATTTCCAAACAACTAGAAATAAATGGCAAAACTAAAAGCTTTCGCCTTAATTTATTGTATTACTTTTCAAGCACAAGGAACGCTTTAAATCTTCAGCAACTGTTTTTGTAGCTTTTAAAAAAAATTACGTAACTCACCTTTTTCTCGGTCAATTTCTCGCATCGCCTCTGCTTGCAGATCTGATGCGACTTGTCGTTGCGACACGGCGCACAATCGCCACAGTTGTCCTTGCGTTGGCAGCCTATGCATTCCCCGCAGCGTTTCCGCTTCTTTTTAGTCTGTGATGGGAAGTACTACAATAAAGTGATTTTGTTTCTTAACACTTTATAAAATTGAGACAATATTTCACCTCGACTCCGCCAAATAAACAAACTTTCAACGTTTTAAGTCTGATGTTTATAAGACTGAATATTGTGTACTGTACACAAATTAATTTTGTTTTTATATTTAATGCTGTAAGTGTGTTTATACTCATATATCAGATCTATTTAACAAAGAAATCTCTTAATTTCAAAAGCGGAACAACCCTTCCGTTTACGCCAGACAATATATCCAGTCCAGCAACAGACAGAAGTACCTAAGGTGCGAGACGTCTAGCACTTCGATTGTCGATGGAGTGACGATTAAGGAAAATACTAACTACAACGGGAAATGCCTATATTCATTCAACAGTGGCCTTTTACGGGATCATAATGCAGTAAAATAATACAATAAAATATATAACTAAATAGAAAAAGAAGATATATAAGAATCTATTATATCTTTGAACGAAAATTAACAATTTTTATACTGTAGTTATTAACTTTAAATTTTCGACGTATTCTACTGTCGAAAATAATTAGAAATTATTACTTAAGATTTCTATTTGTACATAAACATAGAAACTTCTTTGGAAAAATATGGAAATAAATTTTAACTGTCTTTAGTCACTAAAGACGTAACTGCATTTAACGCGGTAACACAGTTATGTTGAAATATTTAAAAAAAAGTTTTCTGTGTTTATCTACACATTCGAATACCTGGCCTTTTCATACTCAATTGAAAACCAAATAAATGCTTAACTGAGTTCAATCTTCGCGTGTCCGGTCTCGAAACTCGGTCGCATTAAATGCAAAAAATGTTATTACAAAGCGGGCGAATTTGAAGGTTTCTGAGAAGCTTGTTAACGAGTCGTCTGGGTTATGCGTCCGCGTCCAACTGAAAAGATCGCAGCAGTTTGATGTGTTCATTTTTCACCCATTATGTTGTATATTATACGTGAAGAGGATACCTGAACTGCCAACAATCTTTTTAAACGTCTGATAAAGGAAGAACAAAAGTTGACAAAGTGTGTGTTATACACGAAACGTAGGGTCCCGCTATGCAAAATATTAACTTATTTGTCTCTGGTTAAGACTAAAGTCTATTTCAAGTGAGAAGGCTTGTGGAAATGATGCGAATTAAAATGTAAAGTATGGATTTTGACAGCAAATAATAGGTTTTTATCTATGATATTGCCGTTCTGCAGTACTGACCATTCCAAATCAAAATTATTTTTGTTAGGCTAAGAATTCCAGTTTCTTAGCCTTACAAAAATGTTTTTAATTTTATTTTAAAACACGGAATTCTTTTTTCAAAATTAGTCGTTTGTTTATTGTTAAGTGTTATGATTTCATTGTATTTGAATCTTTTTCGTCATCATGTATACGTTAAAAATTCCAGTAATTGTGGAATATGAGTATCTACGCAACGCGGCAAAAGCGAATACTACAAATGAACACACCACCTGTTTTTGGATCAAAAAATCAATTCAAAATCATGAAAAAATGAACCTCGAAATCTTTGGTTGACAATGACGAATTAAAGGCGATTGTGGAAACTGATGATAGACAATCTATAGCTGAATTAGCAACAGTTTTCGACGTGAGCACCAAAACAATATTGGTCCGAGGTAAAAAGGCTTGAAAAATACTCTACTAACTCAATGATCGCAAGCGTGATGTACCTACGCGTCGAAAGACAAACAAGGGAAAGAGTTTTGAACCGCATTGTGGCCTGCGACGAAAAATGAGTTCTGTTTGACAATCGCAAGCTCTCAGCAAGTTGGTTGGATCCTGGTTCATCACCTAAATAACGCCCTAAACGAAAATTAACCCCTAGAAAGGTGATGATCACTGTTTGGTGTTCTGGCGCTAGTGTGATTTATGACAACTTCTCACCAAACGAGATGATCATTACTGAGGTTGTGTACTGTGAAGAACTGACCATAATGATTTAGAAGTTCGCACGTCACCAACCAGCTTTAGTTAATCGCTCGTTTTATTTCGTGAAAAAGACTTCTTTGAATCTGAGCTTCCAATAAAGCTACAAAGTAATTTTATTACTTTGGGTAATCATATAAATATATGACAATATAAACATTTAAAATTATTATAGATTCCTTGCCCTTGATTTTGGAAGCTACTTATCGATTCTTGTACTGAACCCCAAAAACAATTTTTAAAATGATTTAGATTTTAAAATTATGTACTTAGAATAATGATTATGAAATGAGATTATTTTTGAATTGTTTCGTCTTTTACTAACGCGTTTTAAAAAAAACACGATAGTAGACACATTTAAACACTTTTAAAAGTACCTAGAACTCATGATCTTTTTATTGGTTTACAGTACGTGAAGGTACCTGATTATTTCTCAGATTAATACATTTTTAATTTCGTAGATAATAACTATAACGTATTATACGTTTTCTTAATGCCCAAACCAAATGGTGAGCCACATTTTCCGGTTTCCCTCTTCAAAAGATACAATTAAAGTCTTAATTTTATTCTATTTTGTCATGTGCTTTTTTACATAGAATTAAACAACAACCGTAAAAAATACAACAGCTGTGATACGGTGAATGTTGAGCCGCCATTTTCTGGCGCAATTTCATTCGTGCATGCCTCGGTTATCTTCGGCTGTAATCGGAATCACGCGATTGTATAGACAAACAGCTGACGCGCATTAAAAGGATATTTTTTTTTTCTATCTTTTATATTTATTATTTAGATGTCAAACAATATTTTTATTACGCACACACTACACAATACTTTTATACAAAGTTTTATATGGTATTTTGGTTACCCATAGTTTTGGATCTCATCTTAATAATTTGTCGCGCAACCGTTTTCGGCATCGAAAAGATCATCAGATATTAGAATAGACAAGATATTACTACAACTTCCCTATTTCTGATTCTATTGCGGATATCTTCATTACATTTTTATCTTACAGAGAAACTCCAAGAAAAACTCTCTCTGTAACACGCTAAGCGCTTTTAAGCTTCCTCCTAAAGCCAGCAATGAAGGACTACGTCTCGGTTTCAAAGGCAAAAAATGTGAAGTTAATTAATTTTCCAACTTTGCTTTTTTTTGGAACAAATGAACATTACAAAATTGTTCGAGAAACGTAAAATTACGAAACTTTAGAAAAATTTCAGGTACTCGTGCAAGCGGTTATTTTTTTCACTACTTTCATACATTTACGCAATAAATCAACAAAAATTTTGTCGCCTCTTCCGCTTTCCCTGTTTCGTTCTTTGTTCTAAGAAACTTTCGCAATGGATTTTCCCGGCTTGACTCATTCGTATAATGAGTTCGTAACTTATGAATCGTGTATTACAAGTTAAACGAATATAAGATCTATTTCAGGACGATACAGTTCAAAATATTACGTCTAAGTTAACGTGGTTAGAAAGAAAAATGCTATTTAATGGGTTATATATTACTGTCTATTTATATGATGAGATTTTCGGGATTGTACAGTAACATTGAGAGACAATAAAAATAACAATGTATTTGTCTTTCTGCTAAAGACAAAATATTAGTCTTAACTCATACTAAAATAAAAAATATCATTATCGTTTGCTCGAAAATAGTTAACCGTTAAATACACATATTATACAGTTATTGTTACTCAGAGGAGTGGTCAGAGACTACGAAATTCCATTTGGCACGATCCTTACATACCTCTTTCACTTCTTTCATATCAATCACAGAAATCTAAATATTTAGAATTAAAAAAAAATTAGATTTTTTTTTCTAAAGATATCAAGGTATATCTATGTACACTTAATCATCGATTAAGCGTACTAATATTTCGACCAATCTTTATTGTATCTCTTGTCAGTACCTACATCCATTGTTCAGTATATCCAGTACATACAGTATCACTATACAATTTTATACGTTGTAGAGCATGCTGCAACTATAGTACTGGTGTAGTTTTAGCGAGAATGGTTCGGATCGACTAGGGAAGAACCACGCTCTCACAGAATACCAGCGTAAAATAGCAGCTTAACGCTGCTGTGTTTCGTATGGTGAGTGTAGAGAACCGGATATTGTTACTGGTAGCGAGGCATTCCATCTTAGTCCTCACGGGTGACTACGCATCTGCATTTTGATTCGTAATTGAAAAAGTAAGCTTAGTCAATAAGTTAAACAACGTTCTAATATTAAAGTAAAACAAACTATTTATGATTAATTAAGTATTATTCTTTTGAAATATTAAATAGTATGATAAAAACGCTTTAATACGAGTATCCTTTTACACGTGGTAGAGCCATGCTGCAGCCATATTAGTTGTAGCACGAATGGGTCGGCTCGACCGGGGAAGGACCACGCCCTCTCAGAAAACCAGCGTAAAATAACAGCTTTACACTGCTCTGTTTTGTATGGTGAGTGTAGAGAACCAGAGACATTTTTTACTGGAAACGAGGCATTCCATCTTAGTCCTCATTGGTGACAACGCCTCTGAATTTTGATTCTTAATCGAGGATAAATGTAGATGTCTGTGGGCCACAGCATCCACTTACCATCAGGTAGAGTGTGGGTATATTTATCACTCTTATTCCATTAAAAATCCTTGTTAATTTACTTCTTGTATGTATAGTATATATTACGAAATAAATTATATATTCTCGTTTCTAAGAAATTAAATTGCCATAATTGGCTTTAACTTGAAGCTTAAAATAAAACTCAGGAGTTTTTCTAGTCTTTGACGCGTTAAAATTTTAAAAATGTATACATACATTAATTAATTTACAGTTTAAATGTGTTACGCAATCAAGTAAATGAAATAATTTTCCCCTCCTAACGAGCATACGTAAACGCCCTTGAATTCAATCCCCTCGCGGGTTTAGATGACTTGGGATTTTTGGTCTGACATTGAAAATATTTTCTTGTAGCTTTTGATACTGAGAACATGAACAATATAATAAAAAAAATTTGTAACATTCTTTTATTAGCTTTGCGAGTATCTATCTATGTATCGG